AATAAAAATACATACATTGGGGATGCATGTGCGACAACTAGTAAATGATGAAGTTGGAGTTTAAACTGGGGCAATCTGTTTTGAACCACTGCTTTATACAGTACCCTTAACAATTAAATCAAACCCCCAAAACTGAGTGTACACAGAATTACTTGGGGATATTGATATTGTAGGTCAGGTGTTACCTGGGAATCTCCTTTTAAAAAAAGGGAGAAAGAGAGAAAGAAACCCAGTCTTCTCAGTTGGTAAATTTGCCTCATTTACTTCTCAAAACATATGAATTAGGCATTATGGATTAGAAAACTGAGGACAGAGCCAGGACACAAATGCAGGTTCTCTGAATCTAAATCCCATATTCTTTCTTTAACTTCATTCTGCTTCTTGGCAGGTCAGGTGACTAATTCGACCAAAAGTTTTATTGTGAACACAGTCCTGCCACTGTGCTTGACATTACATTTCTTTAATTGGTATATGTAGGTGTATAAGTGTGTATATATTCATTTGCTTAAATAAATTTTTTTATACATAAAGTATTATTTAAATCAATAGATCAATTTTCAAAAAAGGAAAACAACAGTCAACCAACCATAGTTAAGAAGAAATGGTAATACTTACATTATCAGGACCTATTAAACAGCCTACATTTTTCAAGGGACAGAATGTATCAAATTGTCCATAAAAATGTCCACTGCAGGGATTCCATATGAAATAATGACTTTTCTCCCAAGTTAGTACATAGGCAGTTGGACCCTGGAAGAAAACAGCCATTAAAAACTGTTTCCAACTAATTATGCAATTAAGGTCAATAGTAGTTTGCAGAGACAATTCATTATTTTAGTTGGGCCCCTAATTTCTAAGTTCCCATGGTTAATAGTGAAAATCAATTTGAAGTTCTAGGTTGTGCTGGAAATAAAAAATAAAATAAAATGTTTATTTTTGTAAAATTCTTACATCTGATATTAGTGCAGTGACCAAATAAGGATAGTAATCACCTTAGCCAACCAATATATCTTAAGATTGGCTGAAGAACTATTATTAATGTCACTGACATTTTCTTTTTAGAATCTGTAAGATTGCCATTTAAGTGTATAGAAGGCCAAGTATACCTGAATAAAAGTATTTCTATTTGTAATATAGTAACTTACATTTGGTATATGTTTATAACTGTGAATGCATAGAAG